CATATTTACAGTTATTTGCAAGTGTGGAAGGTTTGACTGTGTACTCTTCGACACAAGGCCGGAAACCGCACTAGCATCAGTAGTTTTATGTCTGTGCTCCTTTTTCCGCTTTCGCATACACGTTTATTAGCATTAAACGTATAAATTTTGGTATTGTTAAGAGCGCTCCGGCGCTCGTATATAGAAATAGGTCATTAGGGGAAAGCGATATACCGCAAGTGTGCAAAAAATATTCACTTATTTATCCTCTGTTATTTGTTTACTCTACTCTATTACGTTTTCATTTCCAGTTCACTTTTGTACATTTCCATTTTTATCTTTTCAGTTGCATGACATTTGACTTCATAGTTTTGGATACTACGTCCAAGCATCACTGCCACTTCACTATAGTTAACTAGTCAGTTTAGTAGGATACGTTATCATTGTTATTTTTGTGCACTGGTTTTTATTGAAGAGATTTTCGGAAGTTAGAGTTCCATTAAAAGAAAGAGTATATGTTCTATGGTGAAAGTTTAATAGATTTTCATTGAATTCATTGCGAATTGAAGATTCAGTCGAAGTGTATTAAGCTTCATTAATGATCAATCAGTTTACTACAAAAATATTTGCTTATAAAGTTCTTTCTGAAAGCTAGTGGTAATATCAATTTATCACAATATCAAAATTAGTTCGAAATATTTTTTTAAATGGAGTTTCTATCATTTATCGTACGCAACTGATGTTAGTACCGGGGTTTAAAACAAAATTCTTTATTTCTTCAAATTTAATATATAAACCTAAGAATTAATCAATAGAAGTTATGATAGCAATTGATTAAGGGAATAATAAAATTAAAATTGATATATGTAGTTTCAACTAGGTACGATCATAAAAATATGTAAAGAATAGTAGTAAAGAATATATGAAAACTAACATCTCGTAAGGTTGAACCAACCAGTGGCGGAGCTAGACCAACTCTGGACGTCGGCGACATTAGAATTGCGAGACCCCCTTTATAATCCAATTGTAAAAGTAAATGAGTTATATTCACTAATATGACAAAGAATGATTGAAAGTTTTATTGGTAATCAAATTAAAATAAACACAAATTAAAATAAACGAATTTTCCTACTTTTAGATTCACTCAATTTTTTTTTAAATTATATCATAATTTGCGCCAGCTGCTATTTTCCTTTCAGTTTATAGAATTTCGAATGGAGATAGTCTCTCTTGGATCATCATACTTTTCTAGTACGTCTTAATCAATTTTAAATTTGAGAAGCTTCTTTCCGTCGAAGCTATACTGACTGGAACTGTGAACATGTCTGGTTACTATATATACTATATATATATACTATATACTATATATACTATATATAAACATTCGGAAATATTTCGAATATGGTTTATGCCATTATTAAACCAAATTGTTCAAAATATTATTAAGTGCTTAGAATCCACAGTCGGTAACTTTTTGCGAGGCCCATGTGAGCGCGAGGCCGTCGCCTTGCCGACATCGCTGACGCCTAGAGACGCCACTGGATCCAACATAAAGCGTCGAGTAAGAATATTTCGACCTGAGATTTAGTTAAAACCTGGTTAAATCAAGGAAATTATGCTTTATTACTGAGTTTATGTCACTGCGGAATAATCAAAAGTATAATTGTAAAAACTTTGTGCCATCGCAGAACAACCGAAAGTATAATTAAAAAATAAGTTGTGGACAGAAACTGGGTAACGGATCATGCTAAAATCTTTCTTGCTAACTTTTTACAGTGTTATCAACTTCAACTTAAGAATTTAACGATTTTATAATTGGTGTCATCTTATTTAAATAATTTATCTAAGGGAATAAAACGAGTTTTTTTAGAAGTCTGCTTTATATGGTATATATGGTTGTATTCTAAATGTATTCAGATTCAAAGCTAATTTAGTGTTATTTGAAATTTGACCAAGAAGATCCACCATTTCCCAATCTTCATTTTGCTATAATAATTTTTGGTTTTTTTTAATATAAAGGCAAAAATAAATTATTTTTTAAACAAAAGAATTTTGTATAAAAATGATACAAAAATAGACACTAATTAGGGTTTTTGTGCATCTAAGCCAGACAAAGGAATACAACCGCCTATTACCCTTTTGTAATTTTTTCCAGCTGAAGTTTTGATTTACAATTGTTTTCATCAGAGATTTATACAAAAGACATAAATAGTATATAGTATAGTATATATATTAGTTATTAATTTCATATTGGCGCACTGGAGGAAGAACATGTGGGGAAACTTAGAAGTTCACTATATTGATATATAAATTTAGGTTATTTTTAAGATACTTTCGTCGATTGTTCTTTATAAGATTTAATAAATAAATTTCTATAAAAAAAATATATTCCGTGAAAAGACCACTTATAGTCGCAAAGAAAGTGGTTCGTAGATGCTTTAAACCCAGTAGTGAATCTAAATATTAAAAATGTAGGTAGGTAAATAGTAAAGGATGGTTAGGACCACAAATAGTGGGTGTAGTATAGTAGTTTTATACGCTTAAGTACGTATAATGTGTAATTTTCAGTACGTAGAATGCTTAAGGTTCAATTTAAGATTAATGGTTTTAACTAATCCAACCTTAACAATAAGCATAAGAACGTAAAATCAAATGAATAATGCTTAAGGATCCATTTAAGTTTAATGGTTTTAACTAATCCAATCTTAACAATAAGTATAAGAAAGTAGAACGAAATGAATAATGCTTAAGGATCCATTTAAGTTTAATGGTTTCACCTAATCCAGTTGTAACAAGTATTAAGTATGAGAAATTAGAATGAAATCAAGTTGTAATCTTTTAAGTTTTATTGATTATAGGTTATACTGTCTTCACAAGAAAAATGAGAGTCTAGAATAAATGAAATTAAAAGTTTCAGACTTTCAGGCTAAAAACACGCATTTGAAATATTCATGACCATTATTCGTATGCTATGTAGAAGAAAGAGAAGAGCTTGAAGCTATTTGATTTGAATTGTGGCTGGGAGCTTGACTTTTAAATAATTAAAGTCATTCAATTTAAAAGAAGAACTTTGTTAAATAGTCCTAATGCATTTATAATGAATATACATTTGTAATAAGCCAACCTCCTCCTTCTTTTTCTTGGCTGCATGCCATGCTATAAATCTTATGTTTATTTTCAGATTTTTTGTATATTTTCTTTAAAATTACTCTGAATTTTAAATTTCCTAGAAAATACTAATAAAAATATAATTCTTAGTCTTATAGTTAAGATACATTCCAGTGAACTGTTTTTTATGGTACGAGTATCATTTAGTTATTCAGTTTTTTAAAATAATTAGAGTAGAAAAGTTGTTTGTTATTTAATCACGATTGTTGAGCGATAAATCTCACATCTATTTTATTCATTGATTAGAAAAAATATCTTTTTTAAATGCTGAACAGTTTAAATTGGTTGATATCAAATAACAATGCCATAATGACTTTATGTGTAATAATTGTCAGTGGAAACCTTTAACTTCAAACGCACGTATAAGTACGTATGTCAGATTTAACCTTTTAACATATTTTAAGCGAATATGTATCTGTATCTGTAAGTGAATCTCGAATTGAATTGAGCATTCAGTTTCATATGCAATCGTGTGAAATAATTAATTTGTGTTTCATTCAATTTGGGATTGCAATGAAAATTTTATTTGCTGAGTTCGCACTTTTTTTGAATGAACGCATTTTTGGATGAAATTTCAATTGGAAATTGTTCTTCATTTCGCCTCAAAACAGACACAACAGACACAACAGAAACGAGTTAAAATGAATGTCAATGAAATTCAATTACAAACATTAATTTCCGTTTAAATCGCATTCGGGCAAAAACTATAGAGCAAAATGGCTAACACAATCACCTGCTGGTAACGCCATTTTCGTTGCACGTCGACTGAACTTTGTGAAAGGATAGAGAAGAACAATGAGGAGTATTCCACAAAAAGGATTTTTAATAAAAATGTCAGTCATTGTACAAGTCCTTCCCTCCGCTGTTCTTGATGCTGCACTTTAAAAATACAAATAGCAGTCAAGTTAAAAACCTGTTAACATGAAAAGAACATAAGAAAACTGGGTTTAAGTAGTTTCTGCCACATGGATTTTTACTTTTCTACCACTTTCTATCGCTGGTAGAAGAGTTCTATTTTTTTTCTACTTGAAATTTATCAACTTAAATTTATTATGAAGCAAGCGCAAGTTTTTATGTCAGTACAGATAAATGCACTGCGTCTGATACTAAAGCACTGCATAAGTACGAGTACACTAGCTTATGTTACATACCTCATAGGAGCCTGCCGTATCTAGAATATCCAATGTGAGACTAACGCCCGCAATTGAAAAGTTTCCTTGATGCATTTCCTCAATGGTCCTTTTGTATTTGGTGGTGAATGAGTTATATAGAAATTGTGTAATTATTGATGTTTTGCCAACTTTCGCAGAACCCATAACGACGATTTTATGACGCGCATTTGCGGGTCCTATAGCATCATCCACTGCATTATTCCGACCAGCTCTGCAGAAGGGAAAAAATTAAAATGGTCGCATGTACGAGTATAAAATTTCATTAATGTTATTTAAAAAAATATTTAAAAAATAATTATATTAAAAGTTTAATTTTATCATACTGGCACTAAAATTGTCACAGCGTAATTTGTGTAATTAAATAAACACTCAAAAGTATTTTGTGTATGAACGAAAATATGACTTTATTAAAAATAAAATTTTTTAAGAGAAAAACTGCAATTTAATTAAAAACGGCAAAGTATATTTAAATACATGAGAAAAAAAAATGATTTAAATATTTACAAACAATTAATATATATTAATAACAAACAAAAAAAAAATTTAAACTTGTTGATGCATATAAATTACTATATAGTGGGCAATTGTTTGACTTATATTAAACATAATTAATTATTATATTGAGGCTAGTTGAGTCAGTGCACTTGAGCATTTTTACTCTATATTAACTGCGAGGTTTCTTCATAACCCCTCTCTACGCCTTGACTGGATTATTGTTTATTATCAGTTCATTAGACTAAGCAATAATTGACCTCAGACCTACATATCTCCCCGAGTAGCCTGTAAACATTCTGCGATTCGATAACGCGATGTTGGTAAGCCAATCAGTTTTCGTAAATAATTTCAGGACTCTATCTTTAATGTATTTTTTGATCGGATCAATCTTGTCATTCCTCCTAATGTATTATGGTACCTTGAAAAGTCTCCTCAGAGCTTGGCTTTTTGCAATTTCCAGCTGTCAAATAATAGTGTTTGAGGCCTTGCTAAAGGTTACACATCCATATGGAAGTGGCGGTCGAATTATTTGGTTATATAAAGCTTTTTGTTCTTAGCATTGAGATTCCCATTTTTGAATAGCGGTTGGAGGTGATGAAGAGTTTTGACACAGAATCGAATCGTATGTCCACCGTGATGCCTAGATATTTAATGCTATCTTCCCAGTTTATTACCATATCTCCCACTCTCAATCTCGACTGGTTCTGTCTTCACTTATGCGTAATAAACAGAGCCTTAATTTTGTTATTATTGGTTTTTATTTTCCATTTCTGGAAATACTCCAGGATGAGGTTTATATGCTTTTGAAGTGTGTTGGTTTGTTTTATTGTGTGTAATAAAATATAAAATAATTATTAATAGTAATATTAATATAATAATATTATCGATTTTGAAGTATTAGTTGCTTGTTTAATATATTTTCATATTCTTTAATAAAAATTGTCTCGTGGGCGTATGAGTGCCGTAATTTTTATTCACTGAAATAATGCGCTGAATTAATTTGCTTGCTTTTTTTGGTAAAGATCACTGTAATACAGTTTCAAGTTTGTTGATATGTTGCCCAGAGGCTCGAGATTTAAATGTCAACGGTGCTAATTGGGGTCGACAGAAAAATTTTCTGTTTTAGAATTTCCTTCTTAGTTGAGCGAAATGTCATTTAAAGCCTCCAGCCATTCCTAGTTAAGTTTATCATACACAAAAGTATGAATGAAATTTCAAGTAGATTTAAAAATTTTAATAAATGTATTCCATTTATTACTCAAAAACAAAAAACATAATAACAGTAATGCTAATCTTTTGATGATAATAGATAACCTCATGGGAAAATACAATACTCCTTGGCGACTTATAGCGTATTAAAAAGAAAAACAAATTTCAAGAAGTAGTGACCTCTAAAACCAATTTTTCATAGTTATACTGCTTAGCAACATGCTTAAGATATGGAATTTATTTTAATGTACATAACAACAGATTTTTGGTAAATATTTAATGTGACAAAAAAAAAATTAATACGTGAAATATGAACTCAACGGTATTACAGTCATATTATTTTTTTTGGAGATAAATACAATAGCAAATAATTTCAAAATTTAAGATTTTTGTATTGAGAGATTTGTGAAAAAGAAAATGTTATGAAATTAAAACTAGGATAAGTTAGAGAGTTCCAGTCTTCGCACTACCTGTCCCTGTCAGTCACAGATAAAAATCAAAATACGACAATTTTTTGTAAAAGGTCAACAGGAATTGGGCTTACATTTCTTCAATAGACAGGTCAAGCACTACATAGTCTTTAAACTCCAAATGTAGATGCTCCGATTTAGCGGATTGAAGTATATAAGATATTCGGAGTAATTTAAGAAAATAACGGTGCTAACAGTACACTGAACTATAGGACGGTATCAAGCCTAGCTTAGCCTGCCCTGTCGAATCTTCTGTAATACAATTCTACGGGCGCACGAGGTGGAGATACCGGAACACTTGTTATGTCTATGACAAGGCTATGTCAACACACTTGGCGATATTTTCAACATTGGTTTTTCAAGATACTTGTAATTATTAATTACAAGGCTGGTTTATGTAGAATGTAGAATCAGAAAGGCTCTCTTAACTAATTGAGAAGGTTTCAATCCTCCTTCCACTTCATCTACCTACTTTTTTCTATAATTTTTTTTATTGCTGTTATCTGGCACTTTAGTTATCACATTACATAATTTCATACTGTTACTCTCCATGTTTTCCACCATACCGCAGTTCGTATATAAAACGATACTTTTAATATATGATTCAATTATTTCAGTAACTTAGGCTTTTTTTACTGGTTTTAGGTGGCACTGTTGCAGCTTATGTTTTCTCTTCTTTTTGTGTGTTTTTTATTGGCACTTTGACTGTTGTTTATTTTAGTGCATAAATTCGACAAAAATTGTGCAGTGATATGAAGGAATTTACTTGGAAATTGATTTAAAATTAACTTATATTAAGTGATGAGTTTTTTGATTATATTTCATTGAATCCTAGAAATGCCCATAAATTTGTTAGTCCACCTTATTCTAAGAACACTTTGAATGTCTGATATAATTACTTCAAAAAATTATGTGCGGGTTTTTTTCATTATATTTAATTTATAATTGCCATGGTTTCTTAAAATATGGAATTTTTTTTCGCTCTAACAAGGACACTGATTAATATTGCAATTGTTTAATTAAAACTCAAGCCTTTTTGCAAAACCACATCATTACCCAGAATGAAACCGAATACAAAAGGGTAAAAAATGGAAAGTCGCAATCAAAAGTTGTCTTGTCCTGGGTTTACAATTAGTTTTCCATAATAAAAGAAAAAAAATCCTTTGACACATTTTACAGCCTCCAAATTATTTTTTGTTTTGGTTACTTTATGCTTATTTATGACTTTGCCTTCAAAGCTTATGCCAAATCCTGAGCTTAGGACAAGAGCGTATAGAAAAATAAGTAAAATTATTGTCCTTGCGAGCGATATTGCGTGTTTATGTGCGAATGCTCACCCTTTTTTTCGGTTTAATAAAATTTTTATTGTCATATTAAGATGAAAATTCAAAAAAAAAATTCGAGAAAATCGCAAAAATCGAACTTGCCTAGATTAAAGTTTTAATGAGTTTTCTCAACCTTTTTATGCTTCGCACAATAACGTTCCCTTTCAAAGTCCTTTTAGTGAAATAATAAATAAGGTTAATAAATTCGGTTTTTATTTCACGAAAAAACGAAAATGTATAAAAGCAAAAGTAACGCAGGGAGGGAATCATATAAAAGGCACTGGATCAAGAATATCGAATGCTGTGCAACGTCGAATTAATGATGACAACAACAATAACGCTTATACCAACAGCAACGATAGTAATAATAAAAATAATAAAAACAATGGCAAAATCGAAAAAGTAAACAGCTGTAAAAAGAAACAAAATTCAAACAGAAAAAAAAAATGAAATGAAATGAAAAAACAATTTCATGAATAAATAAAAAAACGTTTTGTAAAAAACACACATAGTTACACACATAAATAAACATATACAAGTGTACAAGTGTATGTTAGGTATAAAACAATATTTGCAATCACAAGAATGACTTACTTATCGCGTTTTGGTTTATCCTCAGCATTGTCGTCCTTCATAAAGGAAGGCTGCAAGCTAAAGCGCCTACGTAGGTGTCTACCCCGCATTGCGTATTGCTCAGTCACTCACTCACTCACTAACTCACTTACACAATCAAACTCACACCTCAGCAAAAGCCAAACAAATTAGATGACTAACGAAGCTGTTGCGCCGCTGTGGGTGACACAAGTCTCTACTAACAGCAATTGTATTTGTAGCAATTCACTTAATGAAAGCAACTTGTATGCTGTGAAAAGGTGCTGTCTCTGTGCTGATGTCCCTGTTGCGTTGCGTTGTGTTGCGTTGCGTTGCGTTGAGATGCTGCTCTTAATTCTGCTACTGCAGCATCTGTCGCATTTAAGGTTTTAAATTTTTACTTTTCTTTTGATTTCTGAAACTTTTTGCTTTCTAAATTGCTTTTGTGTATTGTAGTAACTGTTATTTATATTTTTCCTGTTGTTGTTGTTTTTCTTGTTGTTGTTGTGCCGTTTATATTTCTCTATAAATCAGTAAAGTTTTCAACTGTCACTTAATTTTTTTTTCTTTTTCCTATTGCCATACAATAAAACTGTTGCTGTAGTCCTAAATGATATTACTTGACGAGTACAACTGCGAAAGCAAGTATAAAAGAATTTAGGATTTTACCATCTTTTCAGTACTTGACGTCTATGCTTAACATTATTTATGATGATTTGAGACAATGACGAATTCTGTTATGTTGTGGTGTACTATCCTTCGCTGGACGAACAACAACAACAACAAAATAAATGTTATTGCAATTATTATACAATCAACACGCTTCGTAGTTTCGCAGTTATAAAAATGCGATTACAAATACAACAACTTCTGCTTTGCTTTCATTTATACTTTCTAACAACTGTCTTAGGTATTGGGGTGACGTAGGAAGTTGTGACTACAGAATGTTCAAATTGTAGTTGTCCCAATGGAGTAACCGTATTGTGTATAATTTGTGTTTATTGTGTGTGCGTACGAAATAATGTTTGTGTGTGTGTGTGCTTGTATAAGTGAAACAAATAATTTTTTTTATTATTTTGTATAGATTTTCCTCTCTTTTTGTTATTGTAATTTCTTGCTCTGATGACTGTTTGCAGTGTATTGTAGTTGTAAATGCTTGATTTGCTTTAGCTGGTGCAGTTGCTGTTAGGCTGCTTTTCTGTCTTTTCTGTCTCCAATGATATTTTTGTTGATGTAGCGTTTTCAGCTCTCACACTGCCTGTTTGCGGCTGTTGCTTCTTTTATATTTTATTATGATATTTTTTGTTGTTGTAGTTTGTTGTTTGGAGCTACTTGTATTTTATTGTTGTCTTATAACGTTTCATTATCCTTAGGCGTTATATGCAAATACGCTTTTAATTGCAAAAAACAAAGGTATTTAGGCGATTTTCGTTTTACGTGCTATGCCGCTATTTCGGAATATTTATTCTGTAAGTGAAAAAAACCATAAATAAATTTAATGCTCTATTAAATGTTCAAAAGTGGTTTAAATAACTTTCGCACAACTTCAGTGTGTGGGTTAAGTGTTTATACGTCTGCTTAAGTAAATATAATTATACTTTATAAATATTGAGTTAAGCCGTAATGAGTTGGTGTAAAATGACATATAAAAGTAATTTCATATTAAATATTAATTAAATAACAAAATTACAAGAGTGTAGGATTTAAACTATTAAATAATATTGAAGTGTGAATAGTCCATTATATGTTGTGAAGAATTTTATTTGCGTAGAAGTTCTTAACTCACACATTTTTTAAATATAGGCATAGTTGATTTATAACTAAATAGATATACTATAATAATTAAATGAAGTGGTTTCAATATATACAAAATATGTTATTTTTAAAATAAGTTAGGTGACATTTGAGTGGCGGTGTTGTGCCCAAAGCTGACTTGAGTTCAGATAACAGTCCGTTGGGATATTACAAATAAGCATCGTGTATAGACTCAGCACTCCCAAAGGCACCGCATTACTCAGTGAACAAACAAAGCTTTAAGGTACTCGAGATGCTTTAAGTAACTTGAACGGCCAGGTCTGCGTCTCGAAGTCACGCATAAAGTTCGACAACCAACAAGAGGCCCCTTCGGTTTTAAATCTTTTCCTAGCTAATGGGGTGAAGTGCAGATTTCTAATCATCCGCAGAATCACAACCCCAACAAAAGTTATTATATGGTAGACCCAGTCTCATAGAAGATCTTTCTAATACGCATTAGATTTGGGTCTCAACATTGATGTTAAGGTTTTGTGGCTTAAAAATACTCCAAATAAAGCGATCTTCAGTCTTTAATGTTGTCAAATCACATCGAGTTATAGAACTTAACTTATTTTTGCTGTACTATTGTGTAAGTATTTGTATGACCTCTATTAAGTAAGCTCATTGATTTAAAAATTGCTCAATTGTAAATTTTATCATTATATAGGACGTTGTTTAAGGTATGGAACATCATTCATGATTTTTTTTTTTTAACATTCATGAGATCCAATTCGTTTTACCTAGAACTTGCATGGCTTCACTTTAAGCCTCTTCAAAAGACAAAAGTTTAGAGGAAATAAAAATTGTGTTTGTTTTTGAAATACATACTCATACTTTATTATTAAATAAACCGCACCTATCGAAGTATATATTTTTATATACAAATAAATTAGAAATTTAAATGTTTCGAATGCTAAAATGTCATTATTTGATAAATTTTATTCACTTCTAGTCACAAAAGCATTCGCCGCAAAATCTACAAATTTGTTTATACCCACAAATTCCCACCGCAGTAGATAATTTCCAAGTGAAAAATTTAAATTGAAATTATACTGAAAACATTGTAAACATTGTCAGTGGAACATTCGGAAAATTGGAGCAAAAGCGAGGTTTGCCTTTAGAAGTGCCAAACTTTCGAAAAGTTTGCTTTCTAACCTAAATTGCAGTATTGCAGCGATGTGGGTAATGGGGACACTTGATAAAATATTGGCATGATTTGCATAGTGGCATGGAGTGGGGTTTGGGCAATAAGTGTTGATTGGTGTCTCATTTTGGGGTTTCGATTTTGGTGAAAGTAGCGCAAATTCAATTTGACGAGGCAAAAAACCAGCAGTTCAAAAACAAATGCAAACTTTTCAGCTTCGGCAAAGAACTTTTCAACTTTTGGCTCGATGCGAAGTTTTTGTGTTGGCTTTTGGAGCTCGCATTGGGGAAATCTTGTAGTTTTGGTCGCAAAAATAAGCGTTTACCATTTCTACAAAAACCACTTTGAATGATTGCTTCATTCAAGCATTTTTCATTTCTTGTGTAAATTTGTTTTTTCTTGCAAAAGGGATTTGTCACATATTTTAGTTGACTTATTGGCTTTGTTAATACAAATCGCTGGAAATTCCAAAAATTGTTAAAAATTATTTTATTTCTACGAATTTATTGCCGCATAATGTGGAATAGTGTCTTTAACAATTCAGGTTTATAGATCTTTAGTTTGGTTTATGGCTACATAATATAACAACGTTTGCTTATAAAACTTTATTCGTAATAATAGAAATTATTCCGGGACATTTAGTTTTGTGTCCATCATAAATTTCGATGTCGCCTTGTAGTCACGTCAATGTACTAAAAGCTTATTGAAATGTTTTATATGACAAGTATAATTAACCTATATAATATGAATGGTTTCTGATTTCAGTTTCATTTTAGTAGTTGATATAACTCCATAAAGTTCTCTTGAATGTTTTGACAAAAATATTTTAAAAATTTATTAAAAACTACCTAATAAAAATTATTTTTTGAAGGGAGGTTGAAGTAAATGCTAAAGTTAAACTAAGTTAAAATTTTGTAGAGATAATAGAAATAATGACAAAGGTATAGGAATAACTTGACATATATGAACTATAATCTTTCAAGCTGCAAATAATATTATTAAATTAAAAAAGTTTGTGAAACCGCTATGAGACTTCAGCAGTCCATGAAATTACCAGTAGAAAGTGTATGTAATTTAATTAGCATAAACATAAACAACATCTATTTCAGTCTTGGCCGCATCTTATCTGTCAACTGTTGTCAACTGTGTAATATTTCGAAAAATTGTGGAACCACTATGCGCCCCCTGAAGTTCAGTAAGTAGTAGACATAACATATATTATATGATTTTCATACGTTTAAATTATGTCAACCACAGTCTTCGCCTTATCTTCTGAGATTTCTAGCTAAATAAACCATCAAATACCGAATTATGGTTCAGAACCATTCAACTAGCAAATTCAGAGGATCAAATGACTTGAAAATAATAGTAGCTTGGCCACTTTATGTTAAGCCAGTAGATAACTAATTGTTATTTTTGTTATTTTTATTTAGAACTGTGACTACCAAAAGTAGCTTCCGACCGATCGGAATGTCTGTCTGTTAGCCAGTGTTTTGCCCGTACTAAAGACTAATTAATGTTCTTATTTGTAGACTGTGTCATTCAGATAGTGTAAGTCATATGAGCAAAATCAATTATTTTTATGATTTCGTTTTAATATAACACAGCAAGTAAATTTGTTAATAAACTTTTACAGGAAATTAAAAAACTCCAGAAAAATGTGCGAACATGCAAGTCAAATAAGGCTTTGGGTCAGTTGACTAATAAGCGCTGAGTCTGAGCTTTAAATTTGGAGGGACACGAGTTCAATCCCTGGTACTTGCAGTCTCAAAAAAATTATTTACGAATAATTAAATACAAGAAATAATTTCAAGATTACTGATGATGGGTTTTTGGCAATACTCGAAACAGCTGTATGGTCAGCCAAAAATTCAATTATTTAAAATAATATAAAAGAATTTTTGTTGTTGTAGTTCACTACTGTTCGAAAAACCTCTTTACTTTACTTCTGTAATCCAAAATTTAGATACATAGATTTAGACTGATGAATGCATGATATTATGTTTGTAATCTAATGCTTGGCATTTGTGATTCACAAATGGAAAAAAAAGATTCGTAAAGCCAGTTTCCCTGCAGCTAATGGAATGCTCATATATATTTTAAATTAATGTTATGAAATTATAAGGGCCACTTTTGAGTATTATTGTGAGCATTTGAACTAAATAAAACTTTTTTTATTTTTCATTGTTAAAATCGATTACATACACAATTCATCTGCTAAAAAAAAAGTATTAAATTTTACAAGTACACAATAATTCGACGAATAAATTTCCATTGAACTTAATGTACTTCATTGATATATAACTTTATTGTTTTAATAAAAAGTGTCTGTTAAAAATGTATGATTCTTTAAAATAAAAAACGTGCTAATATTACAAATGACCAAACGATAGGTGGTCCCAAGTGCAAGCCATATAAATTATTTTGAACTGCACAACTAGTATTAAGCAAAGAGAGTTGGGTGCCCTCGAAATGAGTCCGGACAATGGAAAAAAGTACTAAAATTTCAATTTTATTGTAACAAAGCAGTTTTCTTTTCAATAAAAATTTTATGCAATTTAATATCTGATGTGCTTTCTATTTTTCGGTCAACTCGTGCGTATGAGCGACTTTATTTCAATATATATTCAATACGAACCTTCGCAGTTATAATTCAAGCCGCATGCAATGCTTTTATTTGAAAGTTGAAAACATTCTGCATTTATGGAAAATGTTTTGTTCTGAAATTTATTGGCGAGAAATGTATAAAGTTAAATAGCACTGGTTATCGTCAAAGTGTTTCGAGGACATTCACAGTGGTTGGATATATCACAAAAATCATTCGTGTGTGCTAATCATGACACATTTTATTTATGATAGCCACAAAATAAATTTTTGCATTATATATATTAATCAAATTTGTAGCTGCTTTATGCGTACTACATAAAAAATACATTTCAAGCAAACTTAAGCCGTATATATAATGCAATTAAAAGATTTATTAAAATAAATAAAATAAACTATTTGATTATGTGAAACCAATATGTGTTTGCGGACTAAGAGCACATAAAAATGTGATTTCTATGGGATTAAATTTCAATGCAAATACTAAAAACATTAAATTTAAATATAGTAAAATAGTAAAATAAATATAGTATATAGTTTTCGATAAGCAGTTGTTGTATTACTATAACAACAACAACTCTTTTATGTCACTTTTAATTTATTTAATTTTTTGGGTGAGCATCAGTGGTCTTGTGATAGCTAGATGCGCCAATTTCAACCTTAAACATAACTACCGAAACTGTAAAATCACAATACTGACTAACAGCCAGGTAGCTATAATGGCACTCATATCCTTACAGGTAACATCCAAACTGGTATGGGAGTGCATTGATAAGCTGAACATACTCGGCAGGAACAATCAGGTGCACCTAATATGGATTTCGGGACATGCTCGCGTTCAAGGCAATGAAATGGCAGACAAACTTGCAAGAAGAGGCGTGGCTGTAAGAATGATAGACCCAGAACCAGAACCTGCG